GTTGGATTGGATTTTGGTCTTGGTGTTGAATTGATTTCTAGCATTTGGGTTGTGAACGTTATTTTGGCATTGGATTTGATTTGTTTTTGGTGTTTCGTCGGGATTTATTTGTAGCAGGTTTGTTTTTCTTGAGTTTCAACTGGATGAATTTTGAATGTTGTTCTTTTGTTCTATGGTTCTGACTCCAACCCAAATCAGGGGGGCGGATCTCCCAGAGCAGGGGGGCACGTTGTTCTTTCGGAAGNGATGAACGTAGTCGGATGCACAACAAAGAAGGCGATTTTCTACGAATTGATCCGCGTTTTGGAAAGAAAATGAAGAGGAGTTCCACAGACAGGTTTGACTCGATAGATTGTTTTAGGCTTTCAGTTGTGCGAGGGACATAAGTACTTTGCGGGTGTCGTTGCGGCGAAGTGCTGAGAAAGGATGGACCAGAGGAAGAGCGTTTTGTAGAGAAGAAACGAAGACGATGGGACAAGACGTTGTGGGTTCAGGAACACTTGCATAATCGAATTCATTCTCGGTTACTTGTTTGTCATGGAGGAGTAGGATCCACGTTTTGGGTCTCATGGAATTATATTGACTTGCCGTTTCATTACGATGCATACGAGCAGGGGGGCTGTAAGATATACTCGTAGCATAGTAATGTGGTTTAATATGGGACATGGATCTACGGAGATTGCAGTTGGGAGATCGCGGAGGAACAGGGAGTTTCTGCTTGGTTTCTTCGGAGATTTGATGAGTGATCTGAATTGCGTGACGGATAGGTGTGGTGACGCACTCTTCGGCTGCTCGGCCTCGAGTGGTCTCTGCCCTTCCCTCTTTCCTCTAATACAAGACTTTCCCATCTCGGCCCTCACTGGCCGAGCTGCCTTTCTCCACAAACCTACAAGCTTCGGCCTACCCGGTTTATCCAACATCGGCCATAAGAGGTGCAGCCACTCAGGCTGCAATGAGGAGACGAGCCATGGTGTGGTCGGTGGCATGAAAAGAGATTTTTGCATGGCACACGCGAAGGATGGAGTGGTGCACCTTATTCACAAGGCATGTCGACACCAAGGCTGCAGCAAGGTGGCGCGCTTTGGCGTGACCGGAAGCAAGGAGGTGGAGTTCTGCTCGGAACACAAGGACAGAATGGCGGCTTCAGCAAGGCATGCCGTCACCCAGGCTGCACGAAACGGCCCTGGTATGGTCCGGCCGGTACCAGCAGTAAGCCAGAGTTCTGCTCCGGACACAGCAAGGATGGTTGGTATGGTCGACGTCGTCAGCAAGCGGTGTGGCTACCCAGGCTGCACGAAGTTTGCGATATTTGGCATGATTGGTAGCAAAAACAGAGAGTTCTGCACGTCCCACGCAGAGGATGGAATGGTGAATGTCGTCCAAAGGAAGTGTGCTCACTCGGGCTGTACCAAGCAGCCGAGGTGTGGAGTGCCAGGTAGCAGTCCAGAGTTTTGTGGGGCACACGCGAAGGACGGCATGGTGGACGTCGTCACCAAGAGGTGCGTCCACCCAGGTTGTACGAAGCAGCCGAGCTTTGGTACGGTCGGTAGCAAGAAGAGAGAGTTCTGCAAGGCACACGCGACGTATGGAATGGTGCACCTCGCTCGCAAGGCATGCCGTCACCCAGGCTGCAGCAAGGGGGCGCGCTTTGGCGCGATCGGTAGCAAGGAGGTGGAATTCTTCTCGGAGCATAAGAAGGCGGGCATGGTCGACGTCTCCCGCAATACGACACGCGGTCAACCAGTCTGCCATAAACGGCGTAGCCTCAGCATCTTAGCCTCCAGTACTTCCAAGAAAGCTTGCCTCTATCACGACCAGGGACAAACACTTGACCGCAATGGCAGCAAGAATCTGTCCAGCGGTGGCAGCAGGCGTATCGACGGGTCAGCGCGAGGAGGTTCAGCTGTGTCATCGGCTGTCGGCATTAAGCGGAACGGCTGCTCTAGTGCACTCGGGCTCTCGGCGACATGGTCGGATTGGGATAGGGAGGGGACAAAGCGAACCCACCAACTTCCGCCGGCATACTTGTTGCTTCGACCCAGCTGAAAGCAGAAGAAGAGGCCCGCACCCCCCGGAAGAGGCCCCGATTTTGGCGCCAAAGTACACATTGTAAAGGTCAAGGGCTGATTTAAACCGCTCTCTCTTTGACACTGTTAGGATACCTTGTGTGTCATCCAGCATTGCAATTGTTCCAAAGGCGTTGGAAGCAACTGAGCCCGTTTGGCGCGGTGGTTTCTTCGTTTTTCTTTTATTTCAAATCGATAGACCATACTTCGTGTTCTGGAAGTTGTTGTCTTTGGAGAGAAATAGCTGGGCGATACGACCGTGGTTGCGCGGCACTTTCCAAGACCTCGCTTCTTCTCTCTTTCTTCCTCTGTTCCCTATCAGCGGGGTGTTCGTGATAAGTTGCTGCTGTGTGTGTCGACAGAGTAACGTAGCA